CAAGTTGGGGTCAGGACGGGGTGAAGGGTCATGGGGGGGGTCGGAGGAGGATTTGGGGGTTCAGCGTGAATTGTGGGGTGAGGTTGGGGGGTTCAAAGGTCATCCTGGGGTCACGTCGGGGTGCGGGGAGGGTTTTGGGGTTCACTGTGAATTTTTGGGGTGCTGTTAGGATTTTGGGGTGCAAAGGTCATCTTGGGGTCATGTCGGGGTCCTCTGGGGATTTTGGGGTTCACAATCAAGTTTTGGGGTGCACACAAGATTTTGGGGTGCGGGTGAGTATTTTGGGGTGCAAAGGTCAACCTGGGGTCACGTTGGGGTGCTCTGGGAATTTTGGGGTTCAAAATCAATTTTGGGGTTCACTATTGATTTTTGGGGTACACACAAGATTTTGGGGTGCTGCGGTGGTTTTTGGGGTGCCTGGAGGATTCTGGGGAGCCAGGGTCATCTTGGGGTCATGTCGGAGTGTTTGGGAGATTTTGGGGTTCACCCTTGATTTTGGGGTGCAGCAGCAGTTTTTGGGGTCCCCAGAGCAGGATGGGACGCTGGGAGGGTGTTGGAGTAATTTCGGGGTGCAGAGATGGATTTCAGGGTGCCTGTGTGTTGTTGGGGTGCTCGGGAGACGTTGGGGTTCGCACTGCATTGTGGGGGTGCTATCATGTTGCGCAGGTCCTTTTGGGGTGCACGCAAGATCTGGGGGTGCCAGGAGGATGCTGGGGTGCCAGGGTCCTCTTGGGGTAGTGTTGGAATGCTCAGGAGGTTTTGGGGTTCACTAGTGCTTTGGGGGGTGTGGTTGCAGTGTTGGGGTCCCCAGAGCACGACGGGGTGCTGGGAGGTTGATGGACTGGTTTTGGGGGCGCTGATGTGATTTCTGGGGTGCTAGTGTGTTGTTGGGGTGCGCTGGAGATTTTTGGGGTGCGGGAATCCTGGGGGGATCATGTGTGGACACAACTGACCTTGCAGTGCTGCAGTGATCTGGGGGTGCTGCAATGTTTTGGGGTGCTCTGGGTATTTTTGGGGTGTGCAGGAGTCCATGTGGGGGTCCTGTAGGCCTGAGGAAGTGATTTTGGGGTGCCGTAGCAATTCTGGGGTGCCAGAATGATGTCGGGGTGCAGCCATGCTGCTGGAGTGGTGTTGGGGTGCACAGAAGATTTTGGGGCGCTGCAGTCCAGCTCAGATCAGGAAGGAATGCACAGGACACTTCGGGGTGCAGTAGTCGTTTCGGAGTACGAGAGTGATTTTGGGGGCGAGGGGGTCATGGTGGGGTCACATTACGGCGATGGGTAGATGTTGGGGTGCCGTAGCAGCTTTGGGATGCTTTGATTCCTTTGAGGTGCAATTGGGTGTCTGGGGCGGTTTGGGGGTGCAGACAAGCTTTTGGGGTGGCATTGGGGGTTATTGGCAGTGATGTTGGAGTGCCGGAGTGATTTGGGGGTACAGGGGACATGTGGGGGTGCTGGGACCCTGTGGGGACCATGGAGGAGTCCAGAAGTGATATTGGGGTGCAAGTGATTTGGGGGTGCAGTAGCAGTTTGGGGGGTGCTACAATGCTTCTGAGATGTCTTTAGGATGCAGAGAAGATTTTGGGGTGCTGGAGTGGAATTGGGGTTGGCAGGAATGATTTGGGGATGGTGTGTAATTTGGGGGTGTGGGGGAGATTTTCAGGTGCACAAGTGTTTTCGGGGCGTGCGGTAGCAGTGTTGGGGTGCTTGGAGAGTTTTTGGGTGCTGGGGTGGTTTGGGGATGCAGAGAAGATTTTGGGGTGTGCGGTTGTGGACTGATTTCGGCGTTCTGGAGACATTTTGGGGTGCTACAGTGGATTGGTAGGGGTAGGGGATGACTTCGGGTGTGTCCTTTGGGGCTACGGGGGAGATTTTGGGGTGCTGGGAGGATTTGAAGGGTTACGGTGGTGCTACAATGGTTTTGGGGTACACCAGTGCTGCTAGGGGGTTCTGGGGTGATTCTCAGCTGCTCATTTCAGGGGGAATCTCATCAACTCTCTCCTTTCTGGGGTGCTGGCCATTCTTGGGGTGCTGAGCAGGAAACATGTCTTGGAATTTGGGGTGGTTTGGGGATACAGGGAGGTCCTGAAGGCCCGTGGGCAGATCTGTGGGTGCGTGATGAGGTGTCAGGGTGATTGGGGGGTGTATAGGGGTGAACCCCAGGACCTGACGCTGTTTCTCTGTCTTGTTTCCCCACAGGTGACCTTTGGAGAAGACAAAACCAATATGGCGGCCACCAACTGACACCCCGTCTCTCTTCTGTGCCAACAGGTGACCCTTGGACATGGACCCATCCATCCATCTACCCATCCATCCATCAATCCACCCATCCATCCAACCATCCATCCACCCATCCATTCATCCATCCACCCATCCATCCATCCATTCATCCATCCATCCATCCATCCATCCATCCATCCATCCATCCATCCATCCACCCATCCATCCACCCATCCATCCATCCATCCACCCCTCCATCCATCCATCCATCCACCCATCCATCCATCCACCCATCCATCCATCCATCCATCCATCCATCCACCCATCCATCCATCCACCCATCCATCCACCCATCCATCCACCCACCCATCCATCCACTCATCCGCCCACCCATCCATCCATCCATCCACCCATCCATTCATCCATCCACCCATCCATCCATCCATTCACCCATCCATCCATCCATCCATCCATCCATCCACCCCTCCATCCATCCATCCATCCACCCATCCATCCATCCATCCATCCATCCATCCA